CCCCATTCAGGCCTTTTTCCTAGTAATAAACAGTTCAGGGTGGCTGTGGCTGTTTTGTGCTGCTGTTTGGTTTAAAATGGAAACTGTCACTTTAAATTTTGTCACTTTAAAAATGTGCACATGCATAGTAGAACCCTCCAGGTTTGGGGGTGGGGTATCTACTCACTCAGGCACCCCCTCTAGTCACCAGAATGGAGGTGCACAGACAGTGAGAGACCAATGAACAGATACAAAAAAAAAAAAAAAAGAATGTCCACACCTTTATCTCTGTGGTTCTGTCAGGTGTCCATGGCTGCTCTGATTCTTTCCCCACTTGGTCTCTTCCAAGATGGTGGCTCTGGGAGAAGCTGAGTGTTTTGAATTAGAAAGCAATGGGTTTCTTCCTTCTGCTACAAATTCCCCTAGCTGTAAGCCTTCCAACCTTCTAAATACTCCTTTATATGTGGTTCAGAGTTGTGGCACCATCCCCTGAGCCTGCTTGGTCTGGTATTCTGTGTTGTTGCTGACGGAGCTCCTTACTTCACGTCTACCTGATCCACCATCTTGTTTCTTCTCTATTTTCTGATTTTAAAATTTTAATGTTTTAATCTTAGCCATCCTAGTGGGAGTGAAATGGTATCTCTCTGTGGTTTTGATTTCTGTTTCTCTGATGGCTAATGACCTCAAGCATTTTTCATAAGTTTGGTGGTCATTTGAATGTCCTTTTAGGTGAAGCATCTATTCAAGTCCATTGTCCATTTGATGATTGGGTTATTTGTCTTTTTGTTATTAAATTGTTGATGTTTGAGATATAGTTTGGGTTTTCTATTCATATTGGATAAGTGGTTTCCAGAGATATTCTCCCTGTTAGTAGCTTGTCTTGTCACTCAAGGCTGTATAATGAGATTGCAACATCTTTCTTCCACTAAATAGCCTGGTGAACTCTGAACACTGACCTTTTGGTTAGCAGCCAAGCACTGAGCATTGTGCCACCAGGGCGCCTATGTAGAGGATATCACCTACTGTCATCAAGTAGATTCCCACTCATAGTGACCTGAAAGGATGGAGTAGAACTGCCCTCTAGGGCCTCCAAGGCTCTATGGATATGGAAGAGCACATCTTTCTCCTGCAGTGCAGCTGGTGCATTCCAGCTGCTTCAGTCTGGGTTGCGCCTCAATGTAAAGAAAACAACAATCCTCACCACTGGACCAGTAAATAGCATCATGATAAATAGAGAAGAGATTGAAATTGTCAAAGACTTCATTTGCTCGTATCAACCATCAACACTTATGGAAAAAGCAGTCAAGAAACCAAATGACGTATTTCATTAGGCCTTTTTAAAGTGCACAAGACCTCTTTAAAGTGTTCGAGAGCAAAGATGTCAGTTTGAGGACTAAGGTGCACCTGACCCAAACCATGGTATTTTCAATAACCTCGTATATATGTGTATGTTGGACAGTGAACAAGGAAGATGACTCCATGGCACACAACCACGACCACCACCACCAACGCCATAGAATTGATGCCTTTGAGGTATGGTGTTAGAGGAGAATATTAAAAGTACCATGGACTGCCAAAAGGACAAACAAATCTGTGTGGTAGAAGCACATCCAGAATGCTCCTTAGAAGCCAAGATGGCCAGACTTCGTCGCTCATACTTCAGACATGTCATCAGGAAGGGGCCATTCCCTGGAAAAGGACATCATGCATGGAAAAGTGGAAGGTCAGCGAAGAGGAAGCTCCCCAACGAGATGGATTGGCACAGTGGCAGCAACAATGGCCTCAAGTATAGCAATGATTGTGAGGAGGGCACAGCTCCAGGCGATGTTTTCGTTCTGTTGTGTATAAGTTAGTACTGACTTGATGGCACTTTGCAACAACAACCACCTTTAGGTTAACAGCTGAACTCTTTAAAGTGTTACCAGAGGGGTGGGGATGGAGGTGGGGTACACCAGAATTTACATAGGGTGCACCAGCAAATGCCATTTCAGGTTTTAAGGCGCTGTGGTAGTGTAGTAGGTTACATGTTAGGCTGCTAACTGCAGGACAGGAGTTTGAGTCTACCAGCTGCCCTGTGGGTGAAAGATGAGGCTTTCTGCTCCCTTAAAGATTTACAGTCTCGGAAACCCTGTACTGGGTTACTATGAGTGACTTTGTGGCACATACTACTACCACCAGACCATTAGAGTTGGATGACTTCTTCTTCCAAACTCCCAGCTGGATTTGTGCACGTCAGACTTGATTGCAACTGAAAAGAAGACCAAGAAGAAATTAGCTCTTCCTTTTCAGATAGATTCTTGAAACTGAAGGCCATTTTGAACCTTGTCTCCTAACTCACTAAATTCTGTGGTCTAAAACCTAAATCTTCTGGGGTAAATTAACCTTCTCAAATTGCTGCTTTTGCTTGGCACCACAGGCCAAAGACAGTATTAACAAACCTTGGCTCATCTCCAATTTCACCAAGTGCTCAAGGTTTAGGCTTTTCAGACTATTAAAATAGTAACTCAAGACGTTCAAACTTGTGCTGACGGTGTTTTGGATTGGGCCTTTCCATGACTTCTGATACCTTTGGAAGAATCATCCATAGGAAATTACCTTAACTGACCCCAGATCTCCGTTTAACTGCCACCACAAATGTGGTGAAGTGCCTTTGGCTTCTATTTTAGCTGATTGTCTCTGTTTTGTTCTTGTAATTGCTCTTTCCGCAGAGACAGTGAATGGAGAATTCTCCCTAAGGTCAGCGTTTAATTAATTGTTTCGCTCTGGCTGCTATAGTATTACATCTTTTGGAATATATGGCATCGATCCTACTATTAAAATTGGCTGGAGACTGCCAGCACGTCGGACACCACTCTTGTAGCGAGTGCCCTCAGTCAATGAGTGGAGGCGGTGTATCATTTTGCAGTCAGTTTACTATCTCGGTGAGCAGCAGTCCAAGGCGCGGGATCTACTCGGCGATTTGATTGGATCTTTCCCCTGTCCATCATTGGAAGGCTCTCGCACTGACTGCTTTGCAGCAACATTGGAAGCAGAGCACCGCCTCTGGAAACCAGTAGAGTGAAGGGTTGGTGAGGAGAAACGTTGTCAAGACATCGCTCCCCATTGGATGGCTGCTGTGTCAGTCATCGTCTCCTCTGCTCCCGTTGGTAAGAAAGCTCCTGGCCGCTAGCGTGGACACTGTACTGCCTCTTCTCAAGCCGGGAGAAAGGCGCGTGACGTCTCTAGTATTTGTTGTTGGAGTTTGGGATCATTAATTATTCATGAGTATCTCAAAAGCGCTGCAGTGATTGGTAGCTGAGAGTCCCCGTCGATTGCTTCTTTCCTAGATATATGAGTCACCCTCACCACTGCCTAGTGAAGCTACGCATAAATTATTCCGATGAGGTGTGGGGGCGTGTCCACGCATCGATTAGGCAAATAAGCCGGGGAGGGAGGGGAAGCCGGCTACGAATTAGCCTAAGTTATTAAAGATGGCGGCGGAGCGGAGTCGCTCCCCGATGGACTCGCCGGTTCCAGCCTCTATGTTCGCCCCCGAGCCCAGCTTTCCGGGGGCAGCCAGAGCTACGGCGGCTGCCGCACGGCTCCACAGCGACTTCGACTCAGACTGCAGCGAGGAAGGCGAGGCTCTCAACGGCGAGCCGGAGCTGGACCTTACCAGCAAGGTAGGCCCGGGCGGCGGAGGTGGGCACTGAGGGGACGGGCAGCGGGGCCGAGCCGTCTCCGGGGTAACGGCGGGGCAGTCCTGGAGCGCGGGAGGCCGGGGTCGCCGCCGTCGTCCGTCCGCGGGAAGGAGGAGGGCGGCCGCCGAGCCCGCCCACCTGCCAGGCACCAGGACCGGAGCGGGACTCCCGGGACCAGGGGTTCCCCGCAACCTCTCTCGTTCCCCCGCGGCACCAACCCTACCTCCCACCCGATCGCACCCCTCTGATTCCCGCTCTGCCACGTGGAACCGGGGCGGGGTGGGGGGGCGCCCGCCTCCCGCCGTGCTCCCAGCGGTCGAGTTCCAGCGCGGCCCCGCCTCCCGACCCCCTCCTTCCTGGGTCCCCACCTGCGAGGTGTGTGGAGTGCGGTCCTCCAGCTGGGGCACCAGGGACGCGGGGTACGGGGGGGCGGGGGGGAGATGGGGCGTGAGGGGGGGGCCGTCGGAGGGGACGGCAGGGCTGGACAGGATAGGGGTGGCAGCCGCAGGCTCTTCCTGGTGTTGGAAAAGGAAACAGAAAGTGGGCGCTTGGAGGGGAAAAGCAAAGACAACCCCAGACTCTGCTTTGGGAAACTGCCCCAAACAAAACCGAGAGGTGGGCTTGACCCACAATCCTGAGAATGGAGCCTCATCTTACGTGGGTGGAATGATGAAAGACGTTGTAAAGCGTCTGGTCCGAGCTGTTGTAAAAGTAGCCAGGACTTAAGGCTCACCATCTGCTTGGCATTGTGGGATATAGAAAGTTAAGTTTACGATGTGACAGGTTTTGCCTCCTGGTGTGGCGCTGTAGGATCAGCACTGGACTGCGAACCACAAGGTCAGTGGTTCAAACGCACCAGCTGGTTCTTGAAAACCCTATATACAGGGTCACTGTGAGTCGGAAACGACTCCAAGACATTTAACAACACCAATGATTTAAAGGGAAGAATGCCAACTCAGGAGTCAGACAGGATTCAGTTTTCTGCCCTGCCACTTAAAAAGGCTCTGTGACCTTGGAAAAGTTTCTTAAGGTCTCAGTTCTCCAGCTACATTAGCTTAAGAAAGTACAGAAGCACTGTGGACATTAGAAATGGACAGGACACCCAGGACAGTGCTTGATACACACTAGACACTCGGTGACTATTGGAGATGAACTGAGTAACTGATCATTCCCTGTGCGCATTGAATAGCAGTTGATGGAAGATGAAATACTCATACCACTGCCTACTTGTAGTTGGAAAGTTACTATACAATACAGGCATAAGAGTGCTTTGAAGAGGTTTGTGACTTTTCATAGTCTATTGTGGTGAAATTTGCATGTAACTTGGATCTAATCAGAGAGAGCTCCCCCGTAACATAAGCAAGCAAGTTCTCAACTGCTCTGTGTTCTTCTAGCCCCACCTGAGCATTTGGAAGGCAGCAAGTTGCTGCTTAAGGTTTATGGCCATGGCCCTGCCCTGAAGGTCCCAATGAGGGTGGCCAAGCCTGAAGAGTAGGATGGTCAGGAAAGTAGGTGAGGCTATATGACAAGATGCAAAAGACCCAGACAGCAGTGAGGTCAAAGTAGTGATGAGTCAGTTCAGGATGCCATAGGAGATGCACCTGACTTAAGAGCAGGTGAACTATGGGGTCAGTACACAGTCAAGGTGCTGAGAAACCTGGAAACACAGCGGGAAGTTGTGGGCATGAGTTGCAGACGGTAGTACCTTTGTTTCCTGACCAGCTTATCGAATGTTCTAGGATGGGGAAATGTTACTTAATCATCTAGCTGAGGAAGTCCTTACTATTTTAAAATTGAGACATGCTGTATATGAAGGAGGTCCTGATGGCACTGTCAGATAAGCACTGGACTGCTAACCATAAGGTCAGTTCAAACCCACCAGCCACTCTTCAGAAACCCCGTACAGGGTCCCTATGAGTCAGAACTGGCTCTACGCCACTTAACAACTATATACAAGAAAGGGGTCCTGGTGTTGCTCTGTAGGGTAAGCACTGAACTGCTACTTCAAGGTCTAGGAATGTTCTAGGATGGGGAAATGTTACTTAATCACAGAGCTGGGGAGGTCCTTACTATTTTAAAATTGAGACATGCTGTATAGGAGGGAGGTCCTAGTGTGGCACTGTAGGCTAGCACTGGACTGCTAACCATAAGGTCAGTGGTTCAAACTCAATAACTATTCCTCAGAAATCCTATACAGGGTCCCTGTGAGTTGGGACTGAGTTGACAGCACTTAACAACAAGAACATATATGAGGGAGCTTCACAAAGTTCATGGAAAAATGAAATGAAAAGATAATGGAAAATTTCCACAATTTTTTTGAAGCCCCCTTGTATATTATATGCACAGCCCTGGTGGTTCAGGGGTTAAGCACTCAGCAGCTAACCGAAAAGTTTGAATTTAGCAGCTTCTCCACAGAAGATTAAGACTGACAGTCTGCTCCAGTAAAGAGTTCAGCCTTGGAAACAGCCTGGGGCAGTTCTGCTCTGTCCTCTAAAGTTGCTGTGTTTGAGTCAGAATTCACTTGGGGGCAATGGGTTGGCTTTTGGTGTATGCATGTGAAGGTGAAAGGGAGAGCCAGAGGGGTTAAATGGTGTCATTCCTGAGAAAAGATTAGAAGCTACAGTTTGTAGAGTTGCTATAATTAAATGTGGGGGTCTGAGGCCCTGAGAACTTTCAAAGGGAGAAACTGTAAACAGGGGTGGTTAGTCTCGACCAAGAAAGTTAGAAAATTCCCTCAGGAATGATTGGGTGAAGAAAACTTTCCGAAGCTTTATGTGTTATCTTGTTCTGTCTTTACAGTGGCCATGTCATGGGTTAAGCATTGGGCTGCTAACTACAAGGCCGTTGGTTCAAACCCACCAGTTGCTCCATGGGAGAAACATGGGACTGTCCTGGGAATCCTAAGGAGCAGTTCTGTTCTGTAGCGTGGCCATGAGTTGGAACAGACAGGAGATACATAGTATCTGTGTAGATACAAAGACTGACACTTAGACAGGTTACATTCTTTCTCCAAGGTCACACTGAATTAGAAAATGTATTCTCACATACCTGTTAGCAAACCCCCCCACCCAAGAAGTGGTTGATACATGTTAATATGATTGGCAGAGAGTTACAAAATGATGGCGTGGTGCTAATCCTCACTTATTGGTGGTGGTGTTTGGTTGATAAAGAGTAAATCTTGCTAACACAAAACTTCCCTGCTGATTTCCAAGGGAATTCCTGTAGTCATTGCCCAGTGATTGGCCTGTGGGTGGATGGAGGGCATGGCCGTCTTGAGTTTCCAGATGCAAGCCACAGATAGAAGAATTTGACCCTTAAGAGTACAGCACTGCTCATCAATTTCTACCCACAATGCTAGCTTCTCAGTCATCCTGGCTCCCGCCCTCTTTGCTGTGGGCTGTGGCTCTGGCAGTGCTCATTTTTGGCCATCCTAGAAGTTACAGACAGAGGCTTTAGGTACAGGGCTATTTAAGGAGTGCCAGAGACTATGTGGGGGCTGGGTGTGTGATTTCGATGGGAGGGCTGTGGGTTTCAGCCAGTGTCTTTGGTTAGGCCCCTTGTCAGCGCTGACTGTGACCCTCTTCTAGTGAGTGTGGTCTAAGGCTGTTGGTTTTTCTTCTAGCTGGTTCTAGTGAGCCCTACATCAGAGCAGTATGACAGCCTACTTCGGCAGATGTGGGAGAGGATGGACGAGGGATGCGGAGAGACCATATATGTCATTGGGCAGGGATCAGGTGAGCATAGTTTTTCTTTCACTTTGTTTTTAAAAATTATTTAGAGTCCATTGTCCCATGTTAGGAAGGTTCCCACTGCAGTGGTTCTGTAGCGTCTGCAGAACTATTCGCGAGGACGGAAAAGTACAAAGTGGTCTGTTAGTCCCATCTGAGTGGTCTGTCCTGAGATGCTTGATTTTGAAGAATCCCTTGTTAAGCAGTTTTACAGATGCTGCATTCTCTCCAGTATTCTCTATTTACGTAAAGGGGACTAGAGCATCATGCAAAGGCACTGCTTGCCCAGGGTAACAGCAAATTATTGTCTTGGTCCTCTGCTCCATGCCCTCTGGAGACCCCACTGCTGCGGATTTTCTGCGTAGTGGAGAACCTCCATGATTCTTCTCCTTAGCCAGTCAGCCCTGCCCCAGACCATGCAGGCTATTCAGTGTGGGTAGCTGTGATGAGAGGGATGTGATTATCTCCCCACTAGATCCAGCCTGACATGTAGGCTTGTTACCGTTCTTTTCCTCCAATCTGCTTATTTCATTTTAATGGGACCCTCTGTTTTTGAAGTATCATGGGGGCTTTTTTTTGTCATGGTCACTCCCCGTTTGCACCTCATCCTGTTATGGCATGCTCTGTGCTGAAATGGCAGCCAGGATTGTAATCGGTTATGAATCCAGCACTAGGCCATCATCTTTGCTGGTTGAGTTTAAGATTGATGAAACCTCAAAATCATTCCTAATTCATCTGAAGACATCTATTAAGTGTCTTCTAAGAACGGAATACTATTATAAAGGCACTTTTGGATACTCAAAACTTGGTCCCTGTCCCAAGGAAGGTGGTGTGTGCCTGCATGTGCACATACCACACACACACACACACACACACACACACACACTTAGGAAAGCTACAAGAGTGACACCACAAGGGGATTGATTACATTTCCCAAATTCTGCCATGTCTTTCTTTGAAGTGTCCCTTTTATCTTTTCTTCCCACTTGCTGCACCTCACCAGTGTGGAGTCTTATCCTGTAAAAGAGGGCAGAGTCAGAGAGATAAGCCATCCAGGATGTTTCGTGTCATGTCGGGGAGGAGGGAATGGTCAGCATCAGAAGTGCTGAGATAGCAAGGTCAGTGTAAGATAAAGCCATTCTTTTTGGTGACAGAGAGCTAACTGATGGCTTTTTGAAAGCTTTTACATCAGGTTGTAATAGCATCACTTTATGCTTGTAGAGTTTGTTGTTCTGACTCATAGCAACCCTATATAACATAATGAAACTCTCCCAGTCCTGTGCCATCCCCAGTTCTTATGTTTGAGCCCATTGTTGTAGCTGCTGTGTCTGTCTGTCTCACCGAGGGCTTTCCTCTTTTTCTCTCACTGTCAACTTTACCAAGTATAATATCCTTTCCCAAGGACTGGTCCCTCCTGAGAATATGTCTAGAATATGCGAGATGTGTCACCATCCTCACTTCTAAGGAACATTCTGCCTGTACTTCTTCCAAGACAGATTGGTTTGTTCTTCTGGCAGTCTGTGGTATAGTCAGTATTCTTCACTTAGTTTGTAGACTTTACATTCCATTTGTAGTCCAGTCTTAACAAGTGTTAGACTTGTTCTTTGATGACCCAGATTCTTTAGCCTCTCTCTTCCCCTTTGCCCTTTAATGTGGACTGTTGGTGAATTTCACCATGCCTTGCTTGGCAAATCACAACTAATTAACCTTCCATGGCAAAGCACAAGAAGAGGTCAAACATTCATTAATACATCAACACACCCAGGCATTATCCCTGCATCTACCAATTGGAAGTTACTAGATTGGCAGTGACTCCTTCTTACTGGAATTCTTTAGAGGTAGAAAGCAGCTACAACTAGTTAATCAAGTTAAACCTCAGAGGTCTAAATAAATGGCCTCTGGGGGTCAGCTTCATCATAACTTCCTGTATGTTCTTGGTTCTGTACTGCTGCTGTCACTTGCTCCATTTGTGAAATGAGGACAATGTCATTCCTGCCCCACCCTATCTTAGGGACATATGGATAAACTGTTGTTGTTGTTGTTATGTGCTGTCGAGTCGGTTCCGACCCATAGCGACCCTGAACAGGGTTTCCAAGGCTGTAAATCTTTATGGGAGCAGAAAGCCTCATCTTTCTCCCGCGGAGCAGCTGGTAGTTTCGAACTGCTGACCTTACGGTTCACAGCCCGATTCGTAAACTAGACATTCACAAATGCAGTGCAGAGAAAGGTGTCCTGTAAGTAAGATGGATACTTTAAAAGGAAGCAATATAGTAGTTAGTTCGCTTGGGATCTAGAGCCTTGTGGGTCAGTGTTTGCCTACTAGTAGCTCTTTTCCCCATCATAAAATGGGGATACTAATAGAGCATATCCCCTGGTATTACTGTAATGAAGGGTCAATGAGAATTCAAGGAAATCACTGGAGTCCTGGTGTAGTGGTGCAGGTTAATGTGCTGGACTGCAAAGTTCATTTGAACCACGAGGTCGGTGGTTCCAGCTCACCAGCTGCTCCTTGGAAACCCTGTAGAGATAAGAGAGTCATTATGAGTCGCAACCGACTCTACAGCACTTAACAACAACAACATAGCACGCACTTTAAAAAAGACTAGCTAGCCTTGGTTTGTAGTAGTTATTTTTTTAAGGATTCCAAATTATAGTTGATTTACTATGAGATTTCTTTTAAAAAGAACCTTGTTCAAGCCACAAATATTAAGTTGCGACTTTTTAAGAAGCCAGATTCCAGGCTACAGGTTCAGGGAACACAGGAGGAGTGCTGTGCCAGAAGCATGGACCACTGGACAGTGTGGATATTTGGTAGACCAGAAGGAGGGTAGAGTAAGTCCGGGTGGTAAGTAGGCAGGGCCCAGATCCTGGGGGTCCTTGAGTTTAGACTTTGATCCTCAACCTTATGGGGAGTCTTTGCAGCCTGTTTCATGGAGGAGTATGTGTAGTGTAGGTGACTCAGGTGGGAGCACGGAATTCTAATTTGCTTTGGGCATGGCTGAATATGTGACCTTGCGCCACTAGACCTCTGCGGTTCTTCTTCTTGGCCTTTGTCTCCCTGACTATGATGTGAAGCACGTGATGCACACTGGAGAAGGGTATTGTGATTGACGGCGTTTTCTGAGAGCCCTGGGTGGTCAAGGTGACATTGGTAATTGCTCCCGAAAGCACTGCTTTTCACTGTACCAGAGCAGGGAGAGCTGACAGAATCAGGTGTCTGGCAAGAATGGCAGGTTAGCAGACCTTCTTTTAGGATCATTTCCAGCAAATCCAGTTGATTTCCAGAGCTCAGTCGGCCAGGCATTTAGAAACTCTTCAGCTCCACTGTTCCCTCTTCGTTAGTTTGTTTTGCATTTTGTAAACCTTTGAGGACTTAATATAGCAACGTAACCCTTATGGGACATTCAGGGATGTTGGTGACACAGTCCTTGTCATCAGGTTGCTTCTGTAGTGTGTGTGTGTGTTGGAGGCTTGGGACGCCTGTGTATCCAAATCACCCTTCTCAAAGCCAGTTGCCATCAGGTCGACTGAAGCTCATGGAAACCCCATGCATGTCAGAACTGTTCTCTATAATGGCTGGCTGCTTCTGAGGTGCCTTTGGGTGGATTTGAACCTCCAGCCTTTTGATTAGCAGCTGAGTGCATTAGTCATTTGCACCACTGACAAATTCCATTAGGTAGAGACTGTTAGGTGCTGTTGAGTTAGTTCTGATTCATAGCGTCCCCATAAACAACAGAACAAAATACTGCACCAGCCTCACAATTGTTGTTATGCTGTGCTACGGTGCCAGTCTGTCTTGTTGGGGATCTTCCTCTTTGTCACTTTATCAAACATGATGTCCTTCTCCAGGGACTGGTCCCTCTTAAGAATATGTCTGAAGTATCAGAGACAAACTCTCACCATCCTGGTTTCTAAGCATTCTGGCTGGAATGTCTTCTTCCAACATAGATTGTTTTGTTCTTCTGGCAGTCCATGGTACTTTGAATATTCTTCTCTAACATTTTTACTCAAAAGCATCAATTCTACGGTCTTTCTTATTCACTGTCCAGCTTTCACATGTATATGAGGCTATTGAAAATACCATGGCTTGGGTCAGGCACACCTTAGTCCTCAAGCTGACATCTTGGCTCTAGAAAACTTTGAAGAGGTCTTGTGCAGAAGATTTGCCTAAGCAGTACAGTGTTTGATTTCTTGCTTGCTGCTTCCATGAGTGTTGTTGGTGAATCCAAGCAAAATGAAGTCTCTGACGTCAATCTTTTCTGCATTTATTATGATATTTATTGGTTCAGTGGTGAGGATTAAAAAGAATTTTTTTTTATTTTTTATTGTGAATTGAGTAAGGGTTTACAGGCAAGATCATCAGGTTTTACATTAAACAAATCATCAGCTTTGTTTCATTTTAATGATTATAAATCCCCCCATGCAATAACAGTTGTCCTGCTCTTCCCTGTGATTACCCATGTACAAATATTCTCTTTCAAACTCATATATATATTTGTGGGATATATAAGCATATATATCCCACTCTTCCTCACAGACATGTTCAGCCTGTGTCTCTGTCCATGTATCCACACATAGAACACTGTTCAAGATTGTGTATAGATCTCTATTTACCTCTATCCCTTTAACCCTTGCATGTATCCCTGTGTCTTCACTTACATTCATCATTCTTCCGCCAACCTCTTTTTCATATATTGCCCTCCCTTTCACCCAGGTTAACATGTGTCTACCCTCTAGTCCATGAATTACTCTCCCATCCCCACCACCTCTGGTAACCATCAAAGTGGTGAGGATTTTTGTTTTCTTTGTTGTTGTTGTTGTCAGGTGCCATCGAGTCGGAACTGACTCATAGCAACCCCATGCACAGCAGAACGAAACAATGTCCAATCCTGGGCCAATCTCACTACTGCTGCCACACTTGACACCATCAATGATGCCACCTGGCCAATCCATCTCGTTGGGGGTCTTCCTCTTTTTCTCTGATCCTCCATCTTACCCAGCATGAC